TTTTACCGTGATCAGATGGATAACGGAATTGATTCGATGATGGTATCTGCCGTTCAGGCTGATCAAGAATTTGAGGCCAGAGCGTTCGAAGATTTTACCAAAAAATTAAGGGCAGATATTGCCACGGCATCTAATATTACCACTTCAAGTTCAAGTAAGAATGCTAGCACATCTAGCAGCAAACATAACAGTGGTTTAAATAAAAATAGTGAGAGTAACGAATTGTTTGCGTCTCGCGCGCCAGAACCTGTTTACCTTCGATGGACCAGTCTAATTGAAGACCAACTCAATTTCTTTTACTTACAACAGTACATCATGGATAAATTTAAGCCCCCTTCAAGATTTCAACTTGCGGAATATCTATCTGTGGTCATATCTGGAGACATTGGTACCAATTTTTACAGAGATCGGTGAAGAAATGATGAGTAGAGATTGTTTGATATGAATTTCATTTAATCCAATTCATTTTCTGATGCACCGGGGACACCAAAAAGAAAAGAGATTGCGATTTTCTACAAAGGCAATTCTTATGAAACAAACTGTATTGACAATGATAAGCTAGATTTAATTTTTGGACTTTTCTAAAATCTTGAATTCATTTTAAAATTATGCATCTGGATCGATGATACGGTTTAAAAAATTGTCTTAATATTTTGTCGTCTAAAACAGTAAACCAGAGACATGAGAAAAAAAAAAATCGATAATGGCTAGAATACCTTTTTTTTTTAGGTTAGATGTAAATAGCTAAATTTTTGTCTTTCTTTATTTTCTCTACTTTTTATGGAAAAATACTTTCCTTTAATAATGTTTAACATACATACATATCACCACTATCATGTCACTAAATGGGGCTTATTATGCACTTTTTTTTTAAAAAAAAAAACAACAAAAAAAAAAAATACCGATGATAATAAATTCGATATGACTATATTGTACATGGCAACGAATACTATATTCGACATAATCGAAGTTTATATTTATTGTCTTATATAATCTCGCGTTAGCTTATGAAAATTATACGTCATCACCACTATCATCTTCCATATCTTCCCAATCCTCACTATCACCACTGTCTTCTTCTTGTTCACTATTGTCATCTTGTGGAGCAATCACAATTTTCTGAAAATTATTAGAGAATAATTGTTTATAACTATTTTTTTTTTTTAAAAAAAATAATAATAATAAATCTCCTTTTAATTAATACTTGCCTCGACATTTGAATTATCGTTTCTTATTGGTACGTTTGTCCTTCCATTGAACGAATTTCTTATTCCCGCATTGCTAGACAAATCCCAAATAAATACCTTTCCTTCTGAACCTGCCGCAGCCAATTGAAAAGGTGAGTCTGGACAAAATTGGGTGGAAAATATTTTTCCCTAGATTTCGGAAAAAAAGATGATTAAAATCACGTGTACAGTCTAACACACCACAAAGTATAACTTACTAAGCCCAAATCTCGACTTGTGACCATTTTTGGTTTCATGTCTTTGACATCCCACACTTTAATCATTTTATCCGTCGATCCAGTAACCACGCACCCTTGAATCAATGGATTAATGTCTAGAGATGTCACAGCCGAGTCGTGAGCGTGCAATGTAAAAATTGGAGTGTTTTGACCGGGGTTCCGTACATCAAAATATAAAACCAAGCCTGCTTCCGTGCTGACGTAGAAGTAATGAGGCGCAAACGGATCCCAACGTATACATTCTGGATCAGCGCTTCCCAAATTCCAATATGCAACGTTATCCGGTGCGCGGCTGTCAAAAGCCGCCACGGTTTTGTCAAAAGATGCGGTCAGTAATACAGTTGACTCGACGTTGTGCCATGCCACCTGTTGAACCTACTTTTCGAAAAACCCTTAGTGTGAATAGGAAGCATGGTGCGAATTTAAAATAAACGTTCAAGGTGCAAACGTACTTTGTCTTTGTGATGATTAAATGAATATGCGCATTTCAACGATTGGAGATCCCACAGTTTTACCGTAGTGTCAGCCGAGGAACTTGCTAATAGATTTCTTTATCGTGATTTAAAATTAATTCCTGATAAAATCCATGCACATAAATTTGAAATGACTCAATTACCTGTGGTGTTTGTTCCATGATAATGACATGACCGAATCTGTATGATATTTTGCATTAGGTTTCTATGAAAATTAGAGAATCGCTGTATTTAAAAAAAAACCCCCTTGATCGTTCGTTATTTGCCAATAGGCTAAATTTTTTTTTACTTACTTCAGAATCTTTTCGCTTTTTTTTTTCTTCCTTGCGCCTTCCTAATATTGCATCGGGATACATCAAATCCACCGTATCCAAATCCCAAATCTCAATTTCTGGATCAAATGTCCCTACAGCGACGTAGTTTCCACCCCCTTCCATTCCAGATTTCTTACCCAATCGAAAATCTAGCCATTCGAGACACAAAGGAAATGATGGCAGCAATATATCATGATGTACATAGAGGTTATCCTCAGATTCTTCATATACGTATATTTCCAGTTGCGAAATATCATCTTCAGTTTTCGCTGCCACCAAGACATTGTCAATGGCAAGAATCTTAATATCATCAGTCTCATCATCCTTTATTAACACATTAAAAGAAATTTAATCAAATCATGATTCGCTTTCCTTTTCCTATGAATTCAGAAATTTACCTCATCATTAAGGGTGATATATGGATCCTCTTCATTTGAAGTGTAATAAGTTAGACCTTTTATATTTCCGAAAATAGAAATCTCTGGTTTTTTATGTTTAGAAAATATTTTAGCTTTCAAGAAATATTTCGACAACGTCCATAAGCGATTAAATAGATATTAACTTTCTCCATTAGTTTCTTTATCGTCATCATACTGATCCAAATTATACTCTGCTAGTTCTGGATCTGAATCTCCACCTTCAGTTTCCATTTTTGTTTCATTTTTACTATTTTAAAAGAAACTTGCGTGAGTTATGTCAAAATTATTCATTCAACTGTGAAAAGCTCTTTATTACATGGTTGAATCGGATTTTTCTTCTAACTGCAATGCTGAAAATTCACTGATCCGCTCGTATTCTTTGTCATCGAGTTCGTATTTTTCAGGTAGTTCGGCAGCAACCCCTTTCCGAATCCAAAGTAAGGTGGATATCATGACGTATCGAAATCGAGAATACGTATCTGAGATTTTTCAGATAAATTTTAAATTTACGTGTTTGATAACATACCGATGATTATCGTTATCAAGGCGATCATTTTTGCTCTCACCTAAAGGTTCGAATTTATGATCTCGGGACTATTGCAGACATTTCTGACACCTGGTAACCGGCGTATTGCTAGTCTTAATCTGTGGTCACATTTTATTCAAAGACACACATGCAGCCCTTTTCCAGCGTCAACAATTAATGTTTACCAAAGTCAACAACAAACTGCTCCCTATGCCACTTTCAATCAAGTTATACGCGGTATGCGTAAGAAAAAGACCAAACTTTCCAAATCTCCTGCCCTGGTAGGATGTTACCAAAGAAAAGGTGTCTGCAGTAAGGTTTACACTACCAAGCCAAAAAAACCAAATTCTGCTGTGCGTAAAGTTGCACGTGTCAAGCTATCAACCGGCAAGTTTGTAACAGCTTACATACCTGGCGAAGGGCATAATTTGGTATCTATTTTTTTTTTATTCACGCTGATGGATTCTGAATATAGGTTTAATAATGTATTGCCTCGAAAATTTTTACCATAAAAGAGTGAACATAGCAATGTCTTAGTTCGGGGTGGTCGTGTTAAAGATTTACCAGGTGTTAGGTATCATCTTATTAGAGGTGCTCTGGATTTTGCAGGCGTTCCTAACAGGATCACTTCTCGTTCGAAGTACGGAACAAAAAAACCAAAATCCGCCTCTGGTTGAATTACACAAATGAAATTATGAGTTGCAAGAATGATGCGATTCAATAACAGTTGGATTTTTAGTTGAATATTATATAAAAGAAATGGTTTTTTGTCAATAAAAACGATCAATATTCATGTTTTTTCTAACTAATTATTTAATAATATTGGATAGCCTGAAACTTTTTCATCCGATTCGGAGTCTAATCTCAAATGGTATTTTTCTAATCTGAACTTTAACATCAATTGTAATTTTAATCTTTTTTATTTTTATACTTTACAAAGAAACAAAATAAGGTATTATAAATTAAAAAAATTATGTTTTTTAAACTAATAATAATTTTTGTTAAATATCATGTAATATACTGTATAACATAATAAATTGATAATTCTTATATTTTTATTTATTTTTTTTTTGAAGGTGAACGGGCATTCAATGCCATGGTTTTTATTGAATTATTATATTCTTAGCCATAATTCTTATATTTTTATATTTTTATATTTAAAAAATAAATATTATTTCTTTATTTATTTTTATTTATTATATATAATCTATCAAGATATACATAGTAAAAGAAACATTTTTTTATATAATTGCAATAAGTTCAAAACTTATTTTTAAATAGTTAATAATATTAAGCTATTATAAATATATATTTAAATAAATAATATATATAGTAAATAAACATTATTTCTTTATTTGATTTGTATGATAAAAGATATAATATATATTATAAAAAAACAATATCTCTTATATATAAATACAATAAATTAAATATTAGCTTGTCTACAAAAACTATATAACTAATACTAATTAAAAATAATTTATTTGACATAATATTACTTGTCAATTATTTAAAAAAAAATAAATAATTTGAAATTTTAATCAAAATTTATATAATATAAATTATTGTTATAAATTATTATTATAAATTAATATAAATAATAGACCTGTGGGTCTATAGCACAGTGGTTAGTGCTCCACAGGTCAGATCACAAGATACCGGTTCAACCCCAGGTGA